TCCTCTGGGCACGAACAGCATTTATAGCATCTTACAGAAAAGATTTGAAAGGATCCCCACTAATTAATGAAAAGAAAGTCCTGATATTGCTGCTCCTGTTTCCCACAGAGTCTTCCCTCTGAGGGAAAACACAAATTAGCTGAAGAGCACATATTCCAACAGGGCACCCCCTCCCCTCTCCCCACTGCAGCCCACCTGCACCCTGGGGTCCTCCCCCAAACCCCACAAGGTGAAAAATGAGAAATGCCAGGTTGCAGCAAAATAAGCCTCTGCTTTGGGCAAGTCTCCAGGGAACCTGCCTCTTTCCAGGAGCCCAGTTCTCTCTGAAGCCAAATATGTGGGAGGAGAAAAACGACCCCAGGAGCTCCTGCATGCTGAGGGGCAGCACTGCTATACTGGAGGGCTCACATCAATAATATGTTTTACTCTCCTGACCTCTCTTTCCACAGGTGAGGAAAAGCCATCCAGGATCCCCTTCTCTCCTCCGAGAGACAGGAATTGCTGCATTCATTTTGCAGCCATGAAAACCAAGGTGGGGAGGGAGGAAAAGGCTCCATCCCTGGCCCCCGAAGAAGCAGGGCAGGCGGCCAAGCTCTGCCCACCCACGTCACCTCTGGGAAGCACTGGAGAACATTCCCTTCCCAAACAAACCCCGCAAGGACGGGATCGCTCCTGCCAGTGCTCAAAATCCCACTGGAGCTCCCGAGCCAAACCCCTGGAAGCTCAGAGCTGCTTCCCCCTGTCCCAGCTCTTTCATTTTCCCCAGGAAAACACGCTGAATCTGAGCTCCAGATTTGAAGCAGTTCAGAGGTTTTCAGCTCCAGCAGTGGCTGACGATTTCCCACGTGTCACGATGTCGAAATATTTAAGGATGGCTAATTAAAAGGTGCACAACGCTGTGGCTGCTTCTAATTAGAAGTTTCCACATCCTTGCTCAGCAATTTTCCCCTATCCCAGAGGGTGCCCCAAGCCCCTCACCACACACCTTTGTAGCAGAGGTTGTTCTGGCAGCCTCCTCCATAGCTTGGGGGGCACTCGGAGCAGGGACGGCCGGTCTTGTACGGAGCTTCTCCGATCCAGTTGCCCCTGCAAGCACAGGAGCAACGTGCACCCATCAGACACCCAAACACCCACCCAAGACCAGAAACATCACCTGGCCCAGAGCAACTAAGCAAAGACTGAACAACCAGCACAAGAAAGCCTTGTAGGAAAAAATATTCTTCCTCATGTCACCTCCAAAATGACATTTTTAGGTGTTGTTACATAAATAAATCGTGTGCAGTATCACTTTTATATTAACTTCCAATATAAACACTGGGATCTTATGTAAACAGAAATAAATCAGTGGATTACTGCATTTTTCTCAAGAAACTACTGAAAATAAAAGCCCATTTTGGCACTTTGTCCTGCAAACTTTAGGGGCCGAGGAGGTTGAAGGAGCCGGAGTTAAGCCCATGGCTACGAACTCCTGGGTTATTGCTCTTTCAGCTGTCTCCACCTATAAGGCTAGATGAGGACAATGTGCACCGATGCCAGAGAGAAAAGATTAAGCAGAAACTGCAGGAATAGAGTATTTTTCCATCCAGCAGCCCTCAATGGATGATGTGCAAATGGTCCAGCCTGCTGTGGGAGCTGTGCAGGAGATGGTGTGATCCCGTATGAGGAGCAGGTTGTTAAACCCCTCCAAATCATGAGCAAAACGAGTATCTAACCTGGGGAGAGGGGCTTAGACACCCAGAGAGCTCTGCCTGGGTCATGACAGCTCTATGCCCACACACCTTTTTCCTTTGCATTATTCTGCACTATGATCCCCAGAAGTCAGATGCTGTCCAAGCCGCTCCATTTGCATATAAACGGCTTCCTATTTCATTTTGTTTTGAAGTTTTAAATTGCCAAGGGCTTGGAGTGGGAATGTTTCTGCTATTAGCCATTAAAACAAAAAATATTAAGTGCCATTGCCAGGTAGGAAACTTCTCCTGGTTGTAGTAGGCAAGAAATGTAATTTTCATTTTGCAATTTAAGCAAACCATCAAGCTAGTGAGATTTTCACTGATGCAGTTATTTCAGGGTTTTTTTGGCATTCCCCACCACCCCATCCCCTCCCACCCTTTGACAGCAGAGAGCAAGCCTCGCTCAGCAGCACACGCCAGCTCCATCCTGGCCACCTCCTGCTCCTCCTTCCCTTCCCGTGGCAGGAACATCAAAGCTCCAGCCTGGCCCAGGCCCCTCATTCAGTTTTCCAGGCAGCGCTCAGTAGTTTTGAACCAGCCCTGTGCTGCTGCCTAAAGAGAAAATTTAAAGCCACAACCACCAGTCTAGACTGCCTGCAATCTCTTCCCCAGATCCTGGGCTAGTTAAGCAACCTGCCAGTTTTGGGAGAGCTGGAGAGAGCCCAGCTGCTCTGCCTTACTTGGGGGAGTAGTTGCAGACCAGGTAGACAGCGTTCTCCCAGATTTCTCCCCAGACATTCATCTGCTTGCAGACGTTGACAGCACAGCCAATCTTGTTGGTCGTGGCCCAGACTATCTGCAAGGGCAATACAGTTATTGAAAAATAAGGAAATCACCCCAATCCAGGCAGAGCTGTGACATGTGGAGAGATTGGGTACAATGGTGTCCTCTACCTGGGTGTAGTGCGTGCACATAGAGCCTGTGCACTTGTCCGGGCACCACGGGTTGCACTCGTGAGGATGAGGGAATGTGTAATCTTTGACTTCATCATACCAAGATTGGACGTGGAAAGCTGGGGATCGATACCTGAAGGAGAAAAAAGGCAGTTTAAATCATGATGTTCTGGTAGAAATTTTGGAATTAAAAAAAAAATCTCATTGACAATGTTAATGATAATGTTCAGGATTAGATATTGGGAAGAAATTCCAGGGAGGTGAGGCCCTGGCACAGCTTGCCCAGAGAAGCTGCCTCATCCCTGGAAGCGTTCAAGCCCATGTTGGACGGGGCTTGGACCAACCTGGTCTCATGGAAGGTGTCCCTGACTATGACAGCATAGCTGGAACTGGGTGATCTTTTAGGTCCCTTCCAACTCAAACTGTTGTGTGTTTCTATGATTTTTTCCCTTAGATTCACAGCCTGACCTGACTCTGTATTATTTATAGGTTTGACATGATCCTCAAGTGCCACTGCCCTGAAATGCCCTTCTCACTTTTCCACACAACTACAAAATAACTTCTAGTTTGGCGGAAAGTTGTGTTTTGAAAGTAAACAGAAGTGAGGGTTTGCCAAACATCTTAAACCAAAAGCCATCGTGTACCTATTTTACCACCAGGCAATTTGCTAAATCTGGAAGTACCCCCAGAGCTAATACTGTAAGACCTTTGAAAGTGAGTGGGCTTTTCCACACTCACATCCCACCACGAGCTGCTGAAGAGTAGCTGGAGCACTACACCCCCATCCCACCTTTTATTGCAGGAATTTCCCCCTGCACCAAGCTCCCCATGTACTTTGTGTAACCTATGCCCCAGGTACCACAGCCTGGGGCACTGCTGATGCTGCTTGTGCTGTTTGGGGAGCACAAATGGTGTCAAAATTACCTGTAGAAGTACGTATTTTACACGCTACATACGCAGAGCAAACAGAGATCTGCAAACTGCACCAAAGCCACTGCTTTTTATTGCTTTCAACAGCTCACACGGAGCAAGCTGCCAGAATTCCAAATGATATCATTACCAACTGGAGCTCACTCTTTCAGCCAACTTTTCATTAAAAATCATTCATTAGAAATATTTTGAAAACATCCATCTCATGATGTCATGAGGCGAATACTTTCCGAGTCCTACTTTACAGGGGAGGAAATTGAGGCAATCAAGTTATGGCCCGTTCCTGAAAAAGCTGAGATAAATCTGATTTCTCTTTCCTCTCAGTGGCTGCAAAGGGAGCAAGATTGGATCTACCTCCATCAGGAACCCATGGCCATCTTGAACACTTGTAGGAGAGCCAAGAACAGCACGATCTTTTGACTTTGTTTCCAATGGATTAACCACTCTACTTTCCAATCATTAGTTAATTCTGCCAACAAAAACAAGCCTGATTTTTATATCAGGCTAATTTCACACCAGCAAACTTCCATTGCTTTCCACCAAGTTCTACCTGATTTACAACAGTCATAACTGCATTTCCACCCAGGAAATGGGTGGAAATCCCTCAGGGTTCCTGAGCAAGTACAAGATGTTTGCTGTGCAAAGCAAGTTTAACCTATAAAAGGCTTAACAACAGAGGCTTAACAATAAAGAAATTTCACCTTGAGATGGAGAGGAAAATCCATTTGGAAGCCTTAACATCAGCTTTCCTAACTGAGTTAACAACTCTGGTTTAAAAACTTGCCCCAGGAAGTTGAAAAAAAAAATCTGCAAAGTGTTCTCAGGAAAGAGAAATTAGAAGCTGGATAAATATTTGTTGAAAATACAGCAAGAGATAATTAAATTCATAACTAGCAGTTGAATCCAGACATGGCTCCTGAGAAACTTCGGTTTTCCCCTGGTTCTCTACATGATGCCAGAACCCCTCCCTGAAACAGCAGATTTAGGAGCCAGGGTTAAGACTTCTGTAGCTGATCTCCTTAAGGAGTAGGAGTGACCTTAAGCAGGTTACAGCTGTGTTACCCAGAGATACAGATGACTGGAGGAGCCCAAATCAATGCTGGTTCGCTGGGAACTGTGGTGGCTGCAGGTGTTACTGTTCCACCAAAGCAATCACAATTAATGATCCTCAGTTTTTCTTCCCTTTCCCCGTGCTCTGTCAAGCACCAAAGCAAGCTTTTCCAACTGTCTCTAAAGGAGGATCCATAAATTGCTCTTTGCAGTGATTCTGTAGCCCCCCAGCTCTTACCTGCCCCAGTGAACCGCCAAGTTCTGCCCGATGGACCTGATGAGGTCACTGGGCCCGTGGTCCCAGATGCACTGCTGAGCCCAGGCCTGGGCTGATCTTTCCAGCTCATCATCCCAGGTCTTCAGGACGTGGGGAGAGAAAACAACAGGTCATTTTTTCATCTCACACTTGTTAGATCAAGAGACGAAACCAACAGCAGTTACTGGAGAAAGGTTAAATTATAGTTCACACGTACATGTCCAGCCTGTCCTAGTGGAGCCAGCACATTTCAGTGATGTGCCCCAACATAAAATCACATTTCTCAAGATGTCCCATTGTCGTGAAAGTCCAGGGCACTAAAGGGTCTGTGATTTGGCCTGGTTGATGCCATGCTTCTTGGGAGATGCTTTACACAGGTCAGCAGAAAACACACAAACACACCTGGGAAGAGCTCAAGAAGCCATCCAGACTATCCACCCTAAAACACAAGATATTCTTGGCAGGTGGGGTTTTTTTCTAATATGTTTTAAAAAAAAAAAAAGTTAAAAAGTTAAAAAACTAAAAGTCAAGGTTGGAGATCCCAGGACTTGCTCATGACACCTATTTCTGAGACTTGCAAGAGTTCTAATGTGCAATCAGTGCTTTGATGTTGATTTTCCATCATTGTCCTTACTGTCGGGATATCTCCAGGCTTTCCTATCAAGGCCAATTGCATCAGTGGATGTATTCCTGCCCTCTGCTACCACATAGCTGGAGATTTTTGGTCCAAGTTCCTAATCAAGAAGTGTAGGTCTCAGTCTCCCAGTCCCATCTCCCCATCTCCTTCCAGACTAACTGCAGAGTCCATCAGTGGATCCAGCCAAATGCATCAGAGCAGGCAAAGTCCCAGCTAATCTCACTCTCACTCAAAGGCATGAGGTTGGAAGTGACAAATCCCATTTCTGTTCCCACTGAGGGAAGGACGTTAGTGTGAGATCACTCCTCATGGAATATCACCCAGCTGGAAGCCAAAGCAGCGCTCAAACATGACACAAAGGCAAACAGGAAAGCAGCTCTGCTGGCTCCGCTGCCCAGGAGTGTATTTGTTCTAAAGGCCAGACTTGCTGGGCCCAGCAGCCAGTGCCCTGAATTCATTGTGTAATTACTGACAGCTGCTCTATTCAGAACAGCCCTCAGAGGATAATTCATTGGGATTAAAATATTACCGCACATTCCTACAAATAAAACCAAAGAGAAGAGAGGTCTTGTAATGTGTCTCCAGCCCATTCACGTGCCAGCACAAGATTGTCCTTTTGGACATTTACCATCACAACCAGCTGCTCTTTCCAAGTCCTGTCTTCTCCAGAAAAAAGCAACTTCTGATCTCAAACATATCAAAGGACCTGTCAGAGCCTGTTTGGAGGGCTGGAGGGCATTCAGGCTCCCAAACACATTTAAAAACCATCAAGTGTTCTTTCTGAGTGAGTATCTGGACATAGTGTCAAGCAGTTATAGCTGGGATGAGGAAGGACTGTGCATCCCTGGATAAGATGAGAGGAAAACACAGTATCTCCTGGAACTTGGTGTGTCCACACTATCTGTGTAAAGAAAACATGAGCTCATCTCACTGAGCTCACAGCCCAGGCCTCCCAGAACAGCTTATCATTAAACACACTCAGCAACCCAGATTCCAACAACATCCCAGAGCTGCCCTGGGCTCATCAGCCTGGCTTTGGGCTGACCAGTGACCAAGCAAATCCACGTCAATCTGCAAAACCCCGTGTGGACACAGCTCTGACCCAGGGAATGAAACCATTTTCCGTCCCAGCCCTCCAGCTCCTTGAAGGTGATGGGATTGGACCCACCACACACATTCCCAAACCTCCATCCCAGCAGACTGTTGCAGCTGTGCCGAGACACACAGCTTTTTGTGGTCTCCCACTTTCTGCGCTCGGCAGTGACCAGCCACAACCCGCCTTCCCATCCAACACAAAAGCCACAGACACTCTCCCAAGACATTCTGCGCTGCGAGTTCCCCAGGCTTTCTAGCACAGCTTCATTCCCTGCAGCCTCAGAGGCGGAGATGCTCCAAATCTCCTAATTTAATGCAGAGACATGGTGAGCAATAGGCCATTAAAAGGAAACTAAAGCCAACATTTGCGTCCCGTCTCCCTTTGATGCCTACGGATAAAATAAATGAGCTCGGACAAAAGACACTCAACAGGTAAATTGGGAACCAGCTCTGTCTTTGCACAGCTTTGTTCTGGATGAGCAGAGAAGCTCATTTCTGCAGGCTCAGATTACAAAGCCATCACATTTAAATCAGAGCAGTTATTTGCCTCTTGCTTCTCAGACGCGAGTGCGGTCAGGACGCTGGAATTATTTCAGAGCAATAAGTATGGGGGGAAAAAAAGAGATTTCAGACTTTCCCAGCTATACTTGCAAAAATTCTTTATGCCAATATTCAAAGCAGTATCTAGGAAGGTTGCTGAAGCCAGAGGGGCAATGAGCCTGTGCTCAGTTTCCTTCATAAGCAGAGGCTGAGAATCCTTTGGGTATGTGTGATTCCAAGTGATTTAGCACATTTTCACTCCTGAAAATTCATAATGGCTTTTCAAAGTACAGTATACACTATATGTATGAAATATATGCATGGCACACACACGTTATGCTACAACTTGTAGGTGCAGATTTAGTAAGAACACATCCCACAAAAAAGTCTACTTACTCAGCCTCAGGACTTTGTAAATCTAACTCCAGACATCTGAATTCCAGTGATCAGGTTACTCACTCATTTTCCTCCCCAGCTTAGACTTTCTGCAATACTGGCAGCTTAATTTTAAAAGTGCCATGAAACTTCAGGGCTGACATGTCCTGGCAGAGCTTTGGTAACCCCCACAGAAATACTATCCCATCCTGACAGGGAAAGTCAGCACCCTACAGTTGAGAGGAAGGATGCATACCTTATACATGAAAACAAACTATTTTCCTTCCAGCAATCTGCACTGAGAACAATTTTGCTTTATCCAGCTGTCTCTGAGGCCGCCGCAAGAGGAAAGATTTCTGTCTTTCATCACTGCTGAAAGCCATCTGACTAAGCCATATTAAAAGGTCACAATGCCTTAGGATCTATTATGTCCTTTTTTTACTCTGGGTCCATTATGTTCTTTTTACTCTGGGCCTATTAACAAGGGGCTTGTTTTGGTCTTGGCACCCATCCACTGCTGTTACAAAGTCCAAACACACAGTGGAAGTGTCGATCATAGATTTGTTAGAGGGGTTAAGGTAATTCTGTACTGGCCCAGCTTCATCAGGAAGTTGTGCACTGCTCACTCATTTTCCATTAACACTGAATACCTCTGCCAACTTTCAATTAATTACACAAACCCAGCAGCTAAACTGTTTCTTTCTCCATTTTTTTCAGTCTGTTTTACCTTTCTCCCATATGTATATAATTCTTTTCATCTCCAGATGAGTCATAGGACCCAGTTTGGTATTGGTTTCTTATCAACAATGTCCAACAACCTAAGTTCATCCTGTAGCAGTTAAATATGTCCCTTTCCTGGAATACCTTTGCCCCCATTGCCATTTTAGACCACTTAAATGCGTCAGATATGGAGCTGGGAGAAAGGACCTTCACAAGGCAGTGTTTGGAGATGGACGGGCAAGAACATGCTCTACCTACTTATCCCCAAATTATCCCTGCACGTCGCTGGTGACACTCCACACGGGCACCAAAGGGAAAGAGAAAAGTTTATCTGTGGTACTAAAGACAGACCATCCTCTTAAACGAGTCCAAATGAGAAATGTCCTATGCAGGACAAAGGATTAAAGAGAAATTCCTGTTCAGCTTATACACGGCATTTCCAAGTCATCCTGGGTAAACACGAACACATGAAAGGCTGATTATGGCCCTTCCAAGCAGCACCATCTTATACTCAGCTCCTTTCTTCACAGCACATAAGGCCCTTTCATTTGCCCTCAATCAGCCATAAAAACCACTAGAAAAGCTCCCAGAGCAAAGGCAAACAGAGAAGTGTAACCGCGCCGCGAGCGCAAACAGCAGCCGGGCAGTGGACAGTCCACAGCACTCTGCCATCCCCAGAGCCAACCCAAACACACTGGGCTTGCTCATGCTCTGTGTTTACCCTCTGGAAGTCAATCAAGTTGCCTCTTCTGGCAGTACTTCCCTGCAGGATAACGTGAGAGCTGCTGAAGAAGAGATACAATCACTGGTTCTTAGAAAGGCACGCGATGCCTGACAAAAGCGCTCCAGGAGACTGGAGTGAGTGCTGATGGGGACCAAGCCATGCACACTTGTCCTTCCTCAATGTCCTCTGCCCTCCCTTCTCTTTTCCTTCTCCTTAGAGTCACAAAAGGCAAGATTTTCCATTTCCAGCCCTCATTTCAGCACAGCTGGCAAACAATTTTATATGACATTCAAGTGTACTTTTCTTTTACCCTTTTAAAAACGGTCTTAACAAATCATTAATCACCGGATCCGTCAGCAGAAGTGCACAGTTGAAGTCAGACTAGCCTTGGTCAGAACTATATTTGCACATTGGGAAAAGGCACACAAAAAATAATTATTTGCCTACATCATTTTGTGGCCCTGTAATATTTTGATGGCACAGCAAAAATAGCTCAAAGGAGGGTCTCTGGCATCAGGTGAAGAAAAGCTATTCATGGGAATTGTTGATGGCAAAGGCATATTTAATTCTCAAACCTTTAAGTTCTCCCTCTGAAGTGGGAGAATACATTGACCAAACTTTTATTTTGGTTTCCTGAACTACAAAAAGCCAATAGCACTGACCCATCCACCCACAAAATCCCAAAGTCCTTCCAGCTATTTCCAGTGATTTAAATTCTTTGCAGGTGGAGCCACATTTCTCAAGTCCTGTTTCTCTGTGGCCCAGAGCAGATTCCCAGCAGCATCCTGAATGTTTGGCTCACATGGTGACCAGTGTATGACAAGAGGACAGATGCCACCTCCAGCGTTGGGTGGTAGCTGATGGCAACCCAAAGACCATCAGAAGATCCTCTGAGCAAACTGTGGTGTCCGAAAACACTCCAAACAGCCTGAAACCTTTCACAGGGAGAACATGGGTTAAAGACTAGGGAAAATTTGATGCTTTTATGACATTAAGGTAATGGAAGAACCTGCTGAGGCAGGCTGTGGAATTGCCATCACCGGAGATGCATCCAGGGCTGGGCCAGACCTCATTTATGAATAATGGAACCAGTCCTGAAACTATGTAGTGGATGGACTCGATGACCCATTAGCAGCCCTTTCCAACCAAAACAGTCCAATGATCTAAAGCATCGTTCACTCTGGAATGAAATTGCTTCAGGAAACCTCTTGAGAAAAACTTACTTCAGAGGAAATTTGCTGCACCTCTCGCACCACAAGGAAAATTAAAATACAGTTAGGAAATACAAAAAATAGCAATAAAGTGAGGTATCAGGCACTAGACTCACCATGTATTCCATATTAGAGGCCACTGGGTAAACTTGACCTCTCAATTTATTGTGGAGCATCAGGATCTCCTGTCTGTCTGAGAATAAAATGGCTCTCTTGGATCTGGAGTGAGCTTCCCCATCCCGATATTTACTCAGGATGCTCTCCAGGTGACTTGAGTTGGGCAAGATAAAGCATTCAGCTGTCACTGTCAGGAGCAGTACACATCCAAGAGGAATGATCCAAGGCAGGGCAGGATTCATGCTTCCTCCTTTACAGCCAGTAGAAGCAAAGATGAAGGTGACAGTAGGTTTTCTTGCTGGGACTCCTATGGCTCAACACAGATCTGGAATTTGGGGAGAAACAGGCAGTGAAGGCAGTGCCAGAGGAGCTCTCAGTGCATATATCATCCAACAACGAGGCCCCACAGACCATATTTGTGCTTGGAAATAAGTGATGCCTACAATTCCCATTCACCCCAACGACAGGAAGACCTGAGCAACACCCTGAGTGATGGGGACTCAGTTTATTACACCACTGATGTGTTGGGACTCCCCAGACATGGCAGAAGGTGCCTCCTGCACCCCAGCACCTTTGGTGGAGGTGCCACCTCACAATGCCCAGCAGCTCTGAGTAATCCCAGCTCCATCCCTTCACAGGCAGGAAGGGGAGACATTTGGAGTTATTCCCACAAAGAGCAGCTGCTAAAGTAGAGAACAGATATTAATAAAAGGGAAAGTAAAATTCCCAGGAGGCCGGATCGCAGAGGTCAGGCATCAACACGAGCTATTCGGGATGGAGCCCAGCAGGACGGCTGCCAGGCTGTGTGAGAGCGGCTGGTTACGGGAAATGTCACCGTAACACCAAACAACGCCAATCCCTGCCGGCAGTGACGCCCCGGGGGGGGTCTCTGACGCGGCGCTTCACGTAAGGCGGGATCAGGGCCAGGGATGTGAGTTATGGAAGATCAGGAGAGCAGCCGGAGCACCCGCCCTCCCCCGGCCCCATCAGGTGTTCCCGTGCACTTGGAAGCATTGTCAGCACAAAGGGCTCAGAGGGATGGTCTTGATTTGGTCGTTGCCGGCTTGGAACAGCTTTGTTTAATCCCTCTCCCTTGCTCCACGGTGCTTCCACTCCACTTGCTATTCCCAAACTCCCCTCTGCTCCAGTTTATCCATCTAACAATCCTTGCATGTCTTGGCAGGTTTTATCTAGATCAGGAGCTGTTCAGGGAAGGCAGTCTGTGCTGCTGCAGGGCTCTACAGCACCCACTGCTCCTTACTGGGATCTAAGAGCCACTGGAGCAGGATTAATCCGGGCAAGAAGCTTCCATACAGACAGTGCAAGCACAGGATCTCCCTCCTTAAGACTAAATTTTGGAGGAAAAATGAGGTGAGGATCTGGTTTTGACAGCAGTGTTGAAAGCCATGCTGAAAGCATTCCTACACAGCAGCAGGAAACAAACCCCAGATTAACAGGAATTATTCGAGAAGTTTCATCCCAGTGACACGGGATTTGGACACACTGAGACCAGCTGAGCTGGAAACCATCCAAGGAAGGGAAAAGCCATCCAGCTCCCAGCTGGAAAAGCTACGCTCAAGCACAAAGCCCCAGATCCCCAGACCCCAGACCCAGCACAACAGCAACTGGGGAGGACAGTGGCAAGCATGAGGTGCTTTGCACCAACAGGGACCCCCAAAAAAACTTTGAGACTATTGAGAAACCCTGAAAACTTGTTGGCTGACTACACAAAAGACACAAAGTCCCTGTTTGAGGCTTCTTTCTTATACTGAATATTAAGGCAGATGAAAACCAGCTGCCCTCAGCCTCTCTCCAGGCAGCACATTAAGCCTTTGCCGGGGTAGGACAATGCAGGATGTAATTTGCTCAGTTTAGGTAACAGCTTCTCATCATTTCCTGCTCTGCAGAGCGAGTCCAACACACACGCCTTGTCCCCAGCTCCAGGCACACCTGAAGACAGGACGTTCAGTGGCACTGGGACAAATATTCCTTTAACCTCATCCTCTTCTCAGCCCTGTTTGTGGCATTCGCTTCCCCCCGAGCAGGAGCCTGACTTTCTAACCCGGCTACAGAGGGGCAGGGGCAGCAAAACGAGCTGTAGCTTTTGTAGACCGTCTGACCCAAATTCAGGGAACAATTCCTACTTTGAGGCACTTCCCCAGGAGTTTAAAAATAGTTGCAGTGCCACGGCCGTTTACAATGTGGCCATTTAGCAGCGGCAGCTCTCCCTGCAGCCTGGCCTGGAGGCAGAGGAACAGCCGGCGCTCAGAGGCTGCCGTTGCACCCCTCGCTTGGCCGGGTGCCCTTTGCTAAATAGGAGCCCCAATCCACCACCCATTTAAGGCAAACACTGAACTTTCAGAAAGGGCAGATTGAAAAAAATCAGCTGTAACATCTGAGAGCCAGAGGAGCTGCCCCACTCACGGCTCCGCAGCGAAGCCACCGCGTCTGGTTTCGCGACCCAGCCAAAAACCTCGCAACAGATGGTGCATTATTCCTCGGGATGTGCTTCCCAGGATCCCATTTGACAGCAAGGGGATACCAGCACCTCTCTAAAATTAGGTCACTTAGGTTTTATCTTCTATTTCATTTTGAGTGTGCGGGTCCCTTCCTCTGCTTTGGCTTGAGGTGGGGAGCGCTGAGCATCCGAAGGGAGGACAAAGGAATTGGAGAGGGACAGAATGGAAAGAGTTCCCTGGCCAAACTAATTGAAAGCAGCAGAAAGATGCTCACATTTCAGAGAGCTCTCATCGATTTCAGATGTCCATCCATCTGCCTCTTGATACCCTCATGCCCAGGTGCAAGGAAACACTGGGACACGTGTTGCAGCTCAGCCAGACCAAGTGCCCTGCAGAGCTGGGGCAATGCCTCCAGGCTCCATCAGGAGCTCCTCATATGGGAAGGATGGAATCACGTTGCCTTTGAGTTGGAATTTGATATTATTCACAGAAAATTATCAGCTGACAGTCAGCTGAGGAAGCCTCTGCTGTTGATTTAAAGGGTTCAAGAGGAGCATTAGCACAACCTCCCTTTAAACACATCAGGCCCTTGATACTGGTGCCAGGTAAACATCTGGGAGCGATCAGAAATGACTGAGTCAGCAGAAACCGACTCCTTAGTGTGCTGAAAAGCCTGTCCAAGGTGGGGACAGAGAGGAGGCCTTCTTCTGGGATCTGAGGGAGTTAAAGAGCTGCACTGGACTTTGGAGAAGATTATTTTTAGAAAGCTATTTCCCCAGCTAATGGATGGTGTCTGCTTTGCACGGAAAGCAGGAGAGCTGGTCGCATCTGAAGCCTGGCATGTGAGGCTGCTGAAGCCACATGCAGGCTGACTCCTGTACTTCAGGATGTCCTCATGTCACCTTATTCCTTGTGGATATTGAGCTTTGACTGCCTCCCTGGTGAAGTACACGAGTGGGTGCCTACTCCTGAGTTATGGGTGACATTTGCAGCTAAAGCATCCCAGGACCTGTGGAGTTACACATGGCACAAGCTGACAAGGCAGGAAAATGCAGAAGTCAGCTTGGGATATCAGGAAAGCATCTAAAAGAGCAAAGCAGAGGGGAGTTAGCATTCTAAATCAGCTTCTAAACTGAGTTAGTCCAGGATCAGCTTCTAGCCCAAGTTAGCCTGAGATCAGCTTCTAACCTGAGTTAGCCTGGGATCTAGGATGAGTTCGCCTGGGATCAGCTTTTAACCTGGGTTAGCCTGGGATCGGCTTCTAACCTGTGCAAAGAAATCCAGTGATAAAGCCACAACATACTTAAAGCACTAAACTCCAGCCCATCTCTTTACCTGGGATGCACACATTTCAAGCCTTAAAGAATTGTGTTGGCTTCCAAAGAAAAGCAGGATGACAAGTTCCTTGACACAGGACAACTTGATACGTTGCACTGAACACACCATAAATTCAGCACCTTCAAGCCCATGGGTCAAAACATCTGGATCTTCCATTACAGTCCACTCTCAAGAACCCAAGTAGGTGAGTTTCTATGTAAAACCACATAGAAAACCCACTGGTAACAGACACCACATGTGGTGACACTGAAATTCATTTAATACAGGACTTTAAAGCAGAGTTGCACAAACTCTGGAGCACACTGGTGTGCCCACAGGCATCAGCTCTTAGACACTGTTACAGCATCCCTTAGATATTTTCTATTTGCATAGAAATCCACTCCTGTACTTGCAAACTCCTCCCATTCATTCGAGATTAATGTTTATTAATCTTACATTAACCTCTGCAGATCATTCAGTAAGGGAAGCTCAGACAGTATTGTGTTATTTTATACCATCCAGGCAACTTTTTGGAGAAGTTACTAAAATTGTGCCTTCTTAAAAAAGTAATTTCTTGCACACACCCCCCACCCCAAACCACATTTCAGAAGCAGGGACCAAACTCTACACTTACCTCGCTGAGTACTTCCAAGTCTCCAGGTAATTGCAGCTTCTCCAAGCCTGCTTGTGGAAAATAAATTATGTATCTGAAATATTTAAGCTAGGAGGAGGGGAGAAGGATGGAACAAGCCTCGGGAGGTGCGAGATGTGCAAGGTCTCAGCTCAGCAACTCATACCAAGTGCAGTCTCACAGAGCTCCCCAGTGGTATTTATGCTCTCCAGGCAAAGAGGACAAGCATGGATCATCCAGGGTTTGGCAACGGGTGTGGAGTAACAACGAAAAGAAGGGGGGTGGGGGGGGGAAGGAGGGGGGGAAAAAGCCCCGGAAAGGAGGCAGGAGCGAGGAGCAGAGATTGGGATCGCGGCAGTTTGAAGTCAGTCATTGGGGCTCAGCAGAGCGGGACCATCCTCCCAAAGGCGGGAGCACCGGGAGGGGAGAGCAGGAGGAGGAGGAGGAGGGCAGCCCATGGTGGTATAAAAGGGCTCGCTGTGCTTTCCCCCGCAGTCGGTGCTCGGGCAGAGCTCGCAGCGCTGCGGATTCCAGGAGCTCCGGTGAGGAGGGAGGGGGAATCCAAGAAAGGGTTTTTTTTCCTGCGAGGGACTAAAGCCAGCTGGCTCCTCTCGGCTGCCAGCTCAGCCATTCCTGCTCCTTACAGGGAAATCCCACAGCGAGGGATTTGGGATTTCCCAGCTCCAGCCCTCCAGCACATCTCATGGCATCCCCCTCTTTTCCCAGAGCTGGGTGTCCGCTGGGAAACAGGAGATTAATCCCCCTCTGCAGTTTCTTCCCAAAGCTCTCCCAGCGCTGACATTCCCCACGGCTCAGTCGGGAGCTCCAGGGAATAAGGAAAGCAAAAAGCGAGTGCAACCCCCAGACAGGACTCACCCCTCCCGCTGTGCTGCTGATGCCCCAACAGCCCCAGCTGTGACATCCAGCTCCGTGCCCATTGCCGTGGTTTTACTCACAGTGAAGGGAAACGATTGAGTAAAAGACAAGCTGAAAGTTCCTTCCCTTTTCTTTAAGTAAACAAACGGGAAAAAACAAACCGCTCTGGTGAGTAACAACACGGGAATGTTACGGCACCTCCACTGCGGCAGCTCCAGCCCGCAGAGGGATGAGCAGATCCAGGCATCACCGTGCAAGGGAGTCCCGTGGGATCCCCACCCAGCAGCACTCCAGGGACAGCACATCCCTCTGTGGAAGCAGCACCAGTGACAACCCAACGTGGAGGCAGGGGAACATCAATCTCCTGGATTTGGCACGTCCAAGCAAAGCTGCCGTGTCTTTTCCAAATCCACTGCCTAGTCCTCTCTCCAAAGTTCTTAGGGAAAAAAATGTCCTTCCATTCTTCTAAGCAGTCAATATTTATTTCTTCAGGCAAAACACCAACTGCTTTTATTTACTGTTTACTAGAAGGGAGTTTACAAGATATTTAGACCCAGTGGCGCTCAGAAAGCAGAAGGACATTTATCAAACTCGTTCAAGAGCAGCAAATATTGGCAATTGAGAGAGCACAACTGCTCTGAGCAGAGAACAGAACCCTCTGGAGTGTGCTCCAAGGCATAACTGCTGATTTGATTTTGTCTCTTACACCATTTTCCTGAGAATTTTTCAAGAAGTTGCAGATTCCCATCACTCAGGGTGTATCTTCTGCTCTGTTTTCAAGTGAGACAGGGAGCCAGTCCTCACCAGTCAGCCCCAGTCCTGCAGCCTGGTACAGCCACAACACCCCTTCTGGCTGCTCTTCTCCACTGGCCATGCTCTCCCAGCTGTATTTACAAAGAGTTTCTATTTACTTCAAAACAAACTGTGTATGTGAACTGACAACACATGGTCCACCAGTTGGACCTGGCACTTCTACCCTGCCAGGAGCAATTCAGTGCAATCTGGGCAGTTTGCTCCCAAAAAAGCTCAGACTTTGCCACTAACACTGGGAAAGACCACCCAGAACTGGGCTGACAGAAGGTTCTGAACTGCTTTACTGTAAAATCACTGTATCCTCCTTTTTTTTTCCCTTGCTGCTCTGATTCACTCTGGATCAGTGACTTTGCTGTATTTCCTGAAGGGTTATTTAATCAGCTGAAAGGTGCTGCAGTTCCCCCAATTCCTAATTTCTCTGAATAACGAGGGCCAACACGGTGAACCATCGTGCCCCCACACAGGCTGCCACCCCAAAACCACACAGCTCCCCAGCCCTGACTCACAGCCCTCAGAAGGTGCTGTTCACCCCAATTACCATAAAGCTGAATTAACTCATTCTCAATCTCACATGCCGACGCACAAATAATTTCCAGACCTCAGAGAAATTTGGTATTTTGTAATCTCCACAAATGTTCTTACGGGAAATGATTCCCTGTAGGATGGTTTGGGCCGTCTGACTGCTCCATCAACCTGGCTACAATCAAATCTACAAAGATTTGATTTTTTAATTTATTTTTTTAACATATACCAGGCTGGTTTCACTGTACAAGGTACAGTTGTGTTTAGGGATGAGCACAACCTGGAATGAGGCATTTTATCCACCTCATTTTGTCTGAAGTCAGCAGTTTTGGGCCATACGTTCAACTAAAGCCAAAACAATCAGAAGTTACTTTTAATCATTCCACATTATTATTGCCTTGATTACAACGTCTCCATTTCATATGTGGTAAAAGCCACATAAAGCAGGCTGCATATATAAGTATATATTAGGAGAGAGGCTTTTAATGGAATAACCAATGAATGGGAAGAGACACAGATTTCCCTGTGCCCTCCTAATTGACCACGCAGACAGCATGTCTTGATCTTCAACTTGAATTAATTCCCCTTTATTTCCTATTCAAACAAGCAATAACGGGCCCAAAGCCAGGCAGGGCAGAGGGAACAGCAGGGGGAGAGGCTGAAAACTGCAGGGTAACTCCTGGGGTTCTCTGGGCTTGACTCCTCCTCCAGAGCAGAGGGAGCACAAGGGGAATAACAGGGTGAAACCTGCAGGAACTTGTCTGTGACCACGTACAACGAGAGCAGTGGGGAACAGCAGCCCCTGGGCTGCTCCTGAGGGGCACCGGGCACGGCCACGCTCAGGTTTGGGGAAACCACCCCCTGCTTTGCTGCCTACTTACATTTCTCCTCCTGCCTGGGCTTTGTCTCTGCCTGAGGATGATGCAGTGGGGCAGAGGTAGCCAGGAAATCCCTGCCACATCCACCTTGCTCTCCAGCAGGGATGGGGGGAAGATGTCTCGACCACACAGCAAAGTGGCAATGCAGAGGTTTGCCTCTGGATTCATCAGCAGATGAATTAACAAATTAATTAGCAGATGAATTGTGGAGATCCAAGTGAATCCAAGGAGTGAAAGGCATTTATAGATTTACTCTCAAGCACAACTAATATTTGGCACTATGAACCCCTACTTATCCTTTCTCACTGCTCTCCAGTTTTGGGGCAGCCTGGACTGACTACACAGGTTCATCTGCAGCTTCTTTTCCACCTTCTCACAACAAAGAACATTCTCCCAAATGTTTAATCAGCTGATGATATGCAAGAAAACAACACCCCATAAAACCTGAGCTTTTTCATCAGTGCCCAGGTAAAGGTTGAGGTAAGAAAGGGAAATAAGCAGACAAGCAGCAGCAGCTTCAGAAAATTTTGGGAGCACCACTGACCACACTAAGTAGAAGTGAAATGTGCACTAAAAGCTACAAAATTCTTCACAGTGAGGGTGGTGAGGCACAGGTTGTCCCATCCCTGGAAGTGTTCAAGGCCAAGTTGGACAGGGCTTGGAGCAACCTGGGCTAGTGGAAGGTGTCCCTGCCCATGGCAGAGGGTGGAACGAGATGAGCTTTGAGGTCCCTTCCAACTCAAACTGTTCTGGGACTCCACGAAAATGTCTCACCTTGTTCTCACACCTCCCCACATTCCCTGGTCACATCTGCAGTGAGAGATGTTGAAACACACTTCTATAATAATAAACTGGTATAATAATAAAGTAACTGGTACAGATCTGCAGACTGAGACAGCTCAGAACTATTAACCCAGGACTCATCTTTAGAGATTTCACCTCGAAACAGAGAAGGTGAATTGCAATCACAAACTCCACAGCCCTTACAATTGGTTATTTGCTCATACAAAATTCTTTCCAAAAAATCCTATTGGGTAATTTAAAATAGCCTGAAATAAATCTCCAGTTGCACCAACCTCCAAAATCTTGGGAACATCCCCAGCACGTCCAAGGCTTGCTCCTCATTCCTAGTCAAAACCAGAGAGATTTAGAGTACATTTACAAAGATAAAGCTGGCACAGACCACCACTGCCCTCTCCTGCAGCCCAGCCCCAAGTGTGACATCATCTCCAGGGGATATTATGGAAACCAGTAGTTTCCTGATTAAAACACACACGACCTTCCCCCACCCCCAAATACCTTGTGCCTTTGATAATCCTCCTCCCCAACACCATCCAACTGTTCCCCTGCAGACCTGGCTTATGGCACAAGGTTTTCCCAACAGCCCTTTGGACCTGCACATCCAAAGTTTCCAGTTTTGAAAACTTTAGCTCTTAATGTGCATTAAAAAAAAAAAAAAACCAAACAACCCAAAACATTGCTTAAATCCTGGTTTAAACATCAGTAAACAACCACTGGATTTACGGTGTATTGGGGGGAAGTTGCTGTGGGTGTTGGGGTTTTCTTTGACATAATCACACACAGACAAAGCAAATGATCAAAAGGCTGCAAAATCCTCATTTTGCAACAACGGGAGGAGCTTAATCCAGAAAATAAAAATTGTGGCCATGTGTCCCCATCGATGTTGCCACATATTTTTTATTCCCCTTGAGCAATCCACTGCAGAAGTCAGATTTGACCAACAAGTGCATTTGTAACATCCCCCGTGAAAATTTTAAAAATTCCTACCATCTGAACACTTCCAAGTCATACTAAAAGTGGATTTCAACACTTGATTTTTAAACTGGCAATGACTCATTGTCATATCTTTAAAATAATTAGTAACACTTGTAACCTCTAGCAAGTAATGTATTAATTACTGATCACCTGCAACTTTATCTGGAATATTCAAGCAAACCTACACTATCAGAAATGCAGCTTTACACAATGCCCTAGAGATACAGGTAAATAAATACCCGACACAGCCACAAGAATAATTAAAAACAGGGTTTCTGCAATACAGAAAACTACTTCAAACAGGGTGCAGGAACAGGACATGAATAATCAGCACAGAACAGTCATTTCAAAATCTGATTTCCCTCCTATTTGGAACTCCCCACTCCCCTCAGATTTCTAAATCAAAGCAGAATGCTCAATGCTCCATGTCTCACCAGTGTGCCTCCAGGACAATTCCTGCAT